TAAGTAGGGGCTCAGTGCGATGGCTCAATTAACTAAATTTCCCCCTTGCAAGTGCCAGGATCCCAGTGGGCACTGGTTCGTATACCGGCTGCTCCATTCCCATCTAGCTCCCTCTTTATGGGCCAGGAAAGCAGCAGAGGATGGATAGCCCCGAGCCTTGGGACCCTGCAGCCATTTGGGAGGCCCAGAACAGACTCCTGGCTCTTGAGTCCTAATTTTGGATTGGCTCAGCTCCGGCAGTTGCAGCCAATGGGGAATGAACCAATGGAGATGGAATATTTTTTCCTCTGTCTCTCCTTTCTGTAAATCTGCCTTTGCAATAAAAATAGATAATTTTTTTTAAGAAAAAAAAAGAAATAAAAAAGTGATAGGTATCTTTTCAAGTGGTAGTGTTGGTAGAGGCTGAAGTATTCTGTTTGAAACATAATTCATGTTAAGGTCAGAGATGGGCCTACTGTCTTCCCTAATCTTTGTCTCTAAGCGTAATGTGCTATCTATAATGATTAGGTCCTGGTACCCAGAAGTAGTCTGTTTTCTTGTGACTTGGTATGGCACATAGTTCAGTTGGAAGAGACTAAATGTCTTGACTAAGAGCAACAGGAATAGTTGTACTATATCAGATATATTATGCTACATGTGGAAGCAACAGAAATGTTATTCAGTGTTTCTATTTAGATCCTTGGGTTAGTATTCTAACTTCCATCTTTAACCACCATTTAATTTTCCACTCGTGGAACTTACATTTTTGTTTCTTACATTCTTATTATTCAGTTATTATTTGGGTCTTAGTGATCCATTAAAGAACGGTTCTGAATTTCTGAGAAACCAATGTGAAATGACAAAGCTGGAGGAAATCCACGCTTTTCTCTCTGGCCTGCAGCAGTCGTAGATTTGGTAGGCTGTGGGACAACTCAACAGACAAAGGAGCTCCAATTTCTCTTCCTGTCTTTCCATATTCTCTAAGTACGGTTACTGCCGGGTGTCCTGTCAGCCCTGCTTCCCTTACGTATTGCCAAGAGAGAAAGGAAATATGCCTTCACTGGCTACTGTACTTCGAACGGTTCCTAAAACCCTGCAAGAAAACCGCAGTGATCTTGGCAAACAAACAATTGAAAAGTACAGGTGCTGGGAATGTACACAGCCCCAAATCAACATGACTCAGGAGGAAAGGGTAACAATGAAAGGTGCTTTTCATTCAGAGAAATTTATTTCCTTTAAATATTTGCAATCTGCAGCCGATAGCACATGAGCCCACTTGGCATTATTGCCTGACAATGGGGAGGACGGGCGGGAACGAGCAGATGCTTGAGCGACCTGTTGCGTGAGGGCCACCATCTATCAAGAGGATCAATATTTACTGTTCTTGTATCTTTGTGGTGAAAGTTTGCTCTTCTCAAAAAAGAAAAAAAAAAGGTTGGGGGTGGGTGGGTTGTGCTTTAATATATAGAGCACGAGTTTGACTTTAGTGATTCAATTGGAAGCAACAAGGTCTTTACACTCGGGTATGATGAGACTTTCACTGTTTCAAGGAGGAAACTCTACCAGACCCATGACAGGTGGAATAATTTCCCCATTTATTCAGTTTCACTCCAGTTCGATCATATCTCGATGAAAGGCACACTTCTGAATTCATTGCTGCGTTTCCAAATATGTCTTAAAACAAGTAAATTCTATTCGATATGACGCCACATACATGTAGCAGGAATCATGCTAGGTGTTGGGGTGACCAAGATGGATAGTACGGGAGTCACTGCATTAGCATTTTTGCCTCAGTTTCCCTAGTCTGTCATACTTAGATCATAGAGGAGAGACCTATGAGATAAGGAGGAGAGAGAAAAATAAATGATGGGTAATGATTACACTTATACTGCAGACTGATTTTCTATTCAGAACAAACTGTGGTTCACTCCTTAAGCACATGTCTAGAATTAGCTGGGAGTCTTGTTACAATTCAGTTGGTAGGATCAGAGAAATTCCCATATCCAACAGACTCCCAGGCCATGTGTTACTGGTCTTGGGGCCACACTCGAGGTCACAAGCAGCTTGTTATCAATTGTGTTGGTCACCCGGGGTGATGGTCAGTGGCACACATCCCTGAGCTCCGCTCGAGATATTCTGAGTCAACATTTGCATTTTGATTTGTTATCCTGATAATTTTCATGCCATGTTTAAATGATGGGAAATTATTGGGCACTGTTAAGAAGGTAAAATGCTTATGAAAGGATAGATTTCTGGTCCTTCGTTTGTGCATCTCCTGCCTTCTGATGTTGGCACATCTGCCCAGCTCTTTCCTGTCACTTATCTGATGTGTGCCATGTTGAGGCCTTGGCTTTAAAAAGACAATATGAAAGAGAAAATGAAGTTCTACCAGGTCTGTGCGTGGAGAAACTAGTGGTTGGCAGAGAACTGCAAATGAGGGAACGGGCCTTGGAGTCTTCAAGAGGGTGGAATTGATAGGATTCAGGCATGAATATCTGTGGATGGAAGAGAGAGAGGAACACTGAGAAACCTTTCCGTTACCTTGCATGTCTGGTTCTGACCCCTGGATTTGTCATTTCGGTGACACTAAGATGCATTGTGCAGTGTGAGGTTAAGAACGTTGGGCCTTGGAGTAGGAGTGAGTAGAGTGTTTCCAATGCTTACTGCTTCTGTAGCTTGGTTATAAGATTTTCATCTTCCAAATGGGGAAGGTTGTGCAGTATCATTAGCCCCAGCTGGAAAAGGTAGAAACTGAAAAATGGGGCATGTCAAGAAGTTGTCCCAGCTTGTGCTGATAGCAGTGGAGAGGAGCTCACAATCCTGCAGGTTCCAGTCTGAGGCTGTCCATGCATAGCTACTCTTCAGACGGGCAGGGGTGCTAACCAAGAAAATACATAGCTTTTTCTCCAGGTCTCTCTTAGTGTCACCACTCTCTTGCAGAATGAGAGAGAATGAAAGAGAGAAACAGAGAGAGAGAGAGAGAGAGAGAGAAAGTTTCTGTCTGCTGGTTGACTCCTCAAATGTCCATAACAGCTGGGCTACGCCAGGCTGAACCAGGAGCCAGGAACTCCACTCAGGTCTCCCACATGAGTAACAAGGGCCTAAGTCCATGGGCCATTTACCACTATCTCCCAGATGTATTAGCAGCAAGCTGAACCAGAAACACAGAAATGGAAATGCAGGCATTGCAAGTGGTGTCTTGATCCATTGCACTACAACACTGTCCCTCAAATTGTGTCTTCACTCAGAGTTTCAGATTTAAGACACAAATCCTTTGCTCAGGGAATAGGTGGGGTGGGTTCACAATATGGCTGTGTGGATTATTATGGGATGTATATGCTTCACCTTTTAAGTAGTATCCTATCCTTCATGCATGGACAATTTGACTTACTAATTTTTATAATTTATTTATGCTTACTAAAAGAAAGTGTTATGGAGAGAGAAGGAAGGACAGATCTTTCATCTGCTGGTTTACTCCCCAAATGGCTGAAATGGCCAAAGTTGGGCAGGTCTAGAGATAGGAGCTAGAAGCCATGCACCAGGCGCTTTTCCCAACTCTCTCATGGGTGCAGGGGCCTAAGGACTTGAGACAGCTTCTGCTGCTTTGCCAGGTCACAAGCAGTGAGCTAGATCTGAAGTGGAATAGCCAGGACTTGAATCTGCACCCAATGGAAAGTTGTGGCCACAAGCAGATTCTTTTTTGTTTTTTATAAGTTCTTTTTTTAAAAAAAATTTTAATTGAAAAGTCAGATTTACAGAGAATAGGGAAGACAGAAAATTATCTTACCTATGCTGATTCACTACCCAAGTGGCCATAATGGTTGAAACTAAACTGAGCTAATTCTAAGCCAGGAGCTAGGAGCTTCTTCCAGGTCTCCCATGCAGGTGCAGGGTCCCAAGGCTTTGGGGTGTATTCTATTGCTTTCCTAGCCTACAAGCAAGGAGCTGAATGCGAAGCAGAGCAGGTGTCAGCAACATGAACCAGCACCCATATGGGATCTCAGTGCATTTAAGGTGAGGACTTTAGCCACTAGGGTCTGCACTGGGCCCCTCAGGCAGATTCTTAACTCAGTATGCCACTGCACTGGCCCCTGGATTGGCTGGCTATAGACTCAAGAAGTTAGTGTTACCTGGATCACATAATATTAATAATCTCTCAATAGTGCTATCCTTACAATATCCAAGTGAGCTAAATTCATATAATAAAAATTATGCAATGATTATACACTTGTGAGTTATTTTTACTTAAAATCACACACTCACTATGTATGGCTTTATGTTGTATCTGTAGATCTTTCACTTTTCATTTCTGTTTACTGTAAGATAACAAAGTTTGAGTTGAGGGCCTTCCTTTCCCTTTTTACCCAGGCCCTCCATTCTGTCTATATTCTGCCACATGGATTGTTCTTACACTTAGAACAACCAATGGTATCACATGGCTACATCCTGTCTGCTTGTGAGTCTTTGTTCTGATGTCACCCTATCTGAGATTTCACTTATTTCTGTATATGAGTTAGTCCACAACTCTTAGTACTCTCCTATTCCCTTCAATCTTGTCTTAGTTTTCATCTCAGCAGAGAAAAGGCACCATCTTATATCATAGATATTTTTGTTGGTTTTTCTTCCCTCACTAAAATGTCAGTTCATAAGGGAAGGTACTTCAAGTGTTGCATCCTTAGTGTATAGAACAATGGGTGGTCCATAGTGTAACCAAATTAAAAAAATTAAGTGCACATAAAAATAAACTAATTAGCTTTTATTTGTATGCACATATATATACACACATATATAAGTATATATGGATATACACACGTGCATAGATATGTATATATATTGTGTATATGTACACACATATCTGGAGAGACAGAATTAATTTCAATTATTTTCAGGATCGTTTCATTTAAAGAATTGAGAGGCAAAAATACCTCTACAATGGCAATAATTTAGGGTAGGGTGGTGGGTGACATGGATTACTTTTGGAACTATAAACTAATTTTATTTTGTGTATTTTCTACTTATAGCCCAGCGCTCATTCTGAAAGAACTGCTTTGCCCTGTTCCAGATTCATTAATCATATGAAGAATTTCTGTGAATCTCATAAACTTAATAGTATAAATTTTCTACATTTTCCAGGTAAATGATGAAATAATCCCATGAAAGCCAGAGTTTCCAAAAAAAAAAATTGACTATGTACAGGTAAAACTCATAAAGACTTCATGGAAAAATACTTGAGTTATATTCCAAAATAGCAACAAAAGAGGAAGATGTTAGCTTGGGAAGTTACTGAATCCATGAAGTACAACTGGCTGTTCCTGGGATTCCCTGGTAAAATTATTGTTTCATTTATTTTCTACTGTTGGCAATATTCTCATGTTGGTTCCCTTTTAGAAAGCATGGCAGCAATACGCTGTGGTGGCTATAGGTAAATATGATTCTTAGAACTTGTCCTATCAGAGATAAAGAAGCTCATTTTAGTTCTGTGTCTTTTTAAAAAATTTTATTTATTTTTATTGGAAAGTCAAGTTTACAGAGAGAAGGAGAGACAGATCTTCCATCTGTTGGCTCACTCCACAAGTGGCTCCAATGGCTGAGCTGAGCCAATCTGAAGTCAGGAATCAGGAGAGTCTTCCAGGTCTCCCAACTGGGTGCAAGGTCCCGAGGCTTTGGGCTGCCCTCCATTGCTTTCCCAGGCCACAAGCAGGTAGCTGAAGGAAAGTGGAACAGTTGGGATACAAACTGGTGCACACATACAGGATCCTGGCACTTGCAAGGTGAATAGTCATGCTGGGCCCTCAGCTCTGTGTCTTAACAGTCTCCACATTTTACTTAATGGTGCTGATGGTCCAGGCTTGGGTCTTAGGTTTCCCCTTGCAGTTAGTTAGAGTATTTGGGAGGAGAGGGCATATTAGTTGACTTGTGCTACTCTTCAGGCAGGGAGAGTGGGTCATTTGATCGTCAACTGCATTAAAATTTTGCAAAGCGTGTGTATCTGTGTGTCTGTGTGATGGGAGATATAAATATAAGGATGACTTTCCAATATAGATTGATAGAGGCAAACAGGAGAGTGTCATGTTGTGTCAAATGAAGTATGACCATGTTAGTTGCATTCTACAGAATATTGGCCACTTAGCCTTTCATAATAATTCTGTACTACCCATCAACTCCAGTTTGAGGACTTTTCATTAATCCAAAATGACTAATGAATTTACAGGTTCAATTTACTATCTAAGAGTAAATGGTTTTTTTAAAAAGCAATTGATAGAGCAGATAACTGCTACCTTTTTACTTAGATAATGTGTTACTTTAGAATGTAATTTTTGATATATTTATTTGCATTTATATAATGGCAAGATTTGTTGCCTGCTGAAATGATTTGTTGAATTTATGAGAGTCCTGGTGCATGTAATTTTAGTGGCATCATTTAAAAATCATGTTGAGATATAGCCTCACATTTTCCTTGATTGAAAAAAGAAGTTAAAAACTTTGTGGGTGGGTTAGTATTGGCAAACTCTCTTATTCCTACCCCTGTTTCAATTTGCCTTGGAACTTTTTTCCATAAAAATAATTTTAATGTTTCCTTGAAAATCCTTCAACACTTTCTCTAAGCAAATGAAAGCATGTGTTATGAGTAAATATCCATGTGCAGGTGGGCAGCTATGTTCTGCACTTAGCTGTCTTCACTTCACATGTCTTGGAACTTTACAGATCAGCACATTGATAGTCTCCTCATTTTTTTTTTCTTACAACTTGTCTAATAGATTTTATGGTATGTCTTAATTTATTTACATGGTTTCCTTTGATGGACATTACTGAATCACCCTACATTCCCAACTGACAAAATGATACAAAATTCATATTTTAAAGTTTTGTTGTCATACACTATGACTGGATTTTGTATACCACTGTTGTTAATTTCAGACTTAGTTTCAGTCTGCTGAAAAGTTTCAACAGACAAGATGATTACAGATTCTGATAAAACCTCTGAAGAAAAGAGGGAAATGAGTTCTCCCAGGTCCCTTCTCAGTCAGTTCCTCCCCAGCATCACCGTGACAACTGCCCATTTGTTTTATCTTTTTATTTGTTTTGCCTTTTCCATAATGTTACATGAATGCAAACTTGTGGCATGGGACAGCTTCTATCTATTCTCTTTTGTATGGCATAATGTGTTTGAAATCATCCTTGGATATTAGTGGTTCATTCCTGTTGGTTTTGAGTAGCATTCTCTTGTATGGATTTAACCACAGTTTATTCATTTATTAGTTGAAAAGCATTTAAGTTACTTCAGTTTTTGAAAAATATTTGGGGAAACGTCACTGAGCTGATAGAAACTTAACTACTCTGTGATAATGGGTAAAAATCTGCTTAATGAAACTCATATAGATGGACACGTTTAAAAAGAGATTTTTTTCCTATGTATATTAATATTAAAAGAACTTGTTATATCACTGATAGAAGGATATTTCCCTTTTTCTATGTATTGACTTTCAAAATAAAGAATCTTTGAAAAATATAGGTAAAGAAAATTTAAAAAAAAAGATGAAAAACTTTGCAAATCCAGCTATGTTAATAAATACAGAAATAATGCTAAGGAAAGAATTTTTCAACTTTATAATTATTTTTAAGCAGATGATTTCATCTGGTTACTGCAATGATTCTGATGAGGAAACTGTACATTAAGGAACAAAGTAATAAATACAAAAATGTGTGGATTTATTCACTGGGAAACTTGATTATAAAATAGTGGACAGAAATAAAAAATGGTAAGATAAGTTAAATCTATGTAAATGGGAAAAAAGATAAAGAAAAGGGAGTTGAGGAAAAATAGATTATGGAATAGTGATCGATAATCAACCAGGGATTGGTGCTATTTAATTTATTAAGTTCAAGAAAGAACTCTCTGAGGAGTTGATATTCAACCTTAAGTTCACCCATGTTTAGAATGAAGAGGACAGCGGTCCCAGAATAAAGGAAAGAATGGTATGAACTTGAGGAAAAGGCAGGGAGGATCCAGAGTATAAGGAGCTCTCTGAGTCACCATGAGGAATGTTGGATTCTATGCTTAATTCAATGTGAGACCCATCGATGATATTAGATAGAACTGCACCTCTTCTTACTTTTAAAATGGTCTCACTGCTATTGTTTGAAAAATTAATTGTGGGGGGAACAAGTGAGGAAGTAGGGAAGAATACAATAAAATCCAACAAGAAGCTAAAAGGGAACCACATGATGGCAGAACAGTGAAGATGGGAATGAGTGAGTGGAGGTTGGTGATCATTTAGATGGATAAAACCAGGAAGACTTTCAAATGGTGATCATATGGGAAAGGGAAATCTAGAGTACGTATTTTTGGCTTGTGACAGCTGGGGGATGATACTGTCATTTTTTTGGTTAGAGAATTATTGAGAATCAGTTTTAACAAGAAATGCAAGGAGTAGTATAAGACCCATGTGCCCCAAAGTCTTGGTCACAAAGTCTGGAGGCTTTTTGAAAGTGCCTTTTTAATTAGTGTGGAGCAAGAACTCAGAAGGTTCCTCTCAGAAACCACTCTCTGCCTCGTTGTTACTTAAATAACTCCTGCTAGCCCACACCTCTGAAATCTCTGTAGTAGCTATTCTTTTTAGGTTTTGGCTAAGCGAAACACCGCAAAATTGCAAAAATGGTGCATAATAGTTGATTGGCTTATTGAAGGTATGCCCTTTTGAAAAGACATTTTTTTTCCCCTCATTATTCCTGTCAAGACCTAGAGTGTATTTCTCCACTTCTTAAATCTCTGCTTGGCAATTTGACTTATTTTGCCTGATAGGACATTAGAAAATAGAACATGGCCAGACAATTTACCAATGCTTGTGCATTGGACATGCTCTCTCACTGCTGGGAACCCTTCCGTTATTCCATGATTGAGCCCCAATAATCTTCTGGATGGTGAAAAATGTGGAAACATCATTCCAGCTGACAGCTGACACGTGAATGACCAGTGAGTGTGCCAGTTTTAGACATGTGAATGTGGTTGTCCTTAAGTACTCAACTTGATCTGTGTAAACTCAGAGCATAATTGCCTAAACTACCGAGCCATGAGAAATCATCTCCTTTTTGTCATCTTACAGTTTTATTTGGGAATGGTTTATTAAACAGCCAAAGCAAATGGATATACAGCCCAGATTTTCAATGGTAGTAACCGATCTCCGACTTACTTATAATCTGGCCTTATTTGCAAATGAATGGCAGGATAACTATGGTACACAGCCAGAATGATGGATAAAAGGGCTAATACTGATAACCACACACCACATGCATTCATGCACACACAGTTGGAGATTTTGGACAAGTTTCACTCATATTACTCCCTCACTAGTGAAGCGCCAGCCTAGAGCTTTTGTTATCTGTGACCATGAGACCCACTGCCAAGCTCAGTATGACAATAGTTAAAGAAGGCATTTTCAGAGTCTCAGCTGGCTGGGTTGGTAACGGGGGTCCTGTCTTCCACAGACAGGGAAACACACCTCTTAAAGCACACTTTCCCATTGGTTAAAATCAATAAATCCACAGTTAGTTGAAAGATGAGCCTTATGAATTTGCTGTTTGCTTTGAATGAACAAAATCTAAGTGCAGGAAGAGAAAAACAAATGGAATTTCTTAAAGCCAACTCTGTGTTTTTTTTTCTCACTTGAGGACTTGGCAAAGGAGATAACTTTCTTTAATGGACCTGAACAGACAGAGACATAGCTGTGTGTGTGTGTGTGTGTGTGTGTGTGTGTGTGTGTGTGTGTGTGTGTGTGTAAGGAGCCTGTCTTTGTGATATAGAATAAAAGTCTCAACTGGAGAAAAGCCTCACGGGGTCAACAAGGAAGTGTTAAGGAATTCCTGGACATGAATGAAATGATCAAAAGAAGAAAAATAATTTGAGATGTGAGACTGAAACTTGAAAGAATGAAGGAAGGAAATGATGCAAAGATAAGCCTGGCACTTGGTTCTTGGCTGTTAGAATACTCAGGACACGTCTGCCAGGAGGCAATGAGGAGAAGGACATTTGTCCAAGTGTTTCTGGTGCTGGTCTTCATCGCTTCTGTCAACTCAAAGATGGGAGGCTCTGACAAGTGAATATTAGACAATACAAGTAGTCTTCTCTAATCTGT